CGAAGCAGTCAGCTTTCAAAACTAAGCAAAGTGTGCCGACAGAGGAGTAAACCGCTTTCATCAATACCTCACACAATATCGTCTGTAGAAAGCAGGACATATTTTCTAACATCGATCGAAAAACGTTTATTAATACTTAATTCTTTTTAACTTTTCAAAACGCCCAGCCTACTAGTACATTCAGAACGCTTAGTCTTGGATATCTTCACAGGAGACCAGACTCAGAAAACATGATAATATTCTGGAAAGACAAAGGATTTTGCCACCAAGTTCGCAAACCTCCAATGGTCTATCGCACCTCAACAAGTTTATGGTTATTAAAGAGGTGAGAACCTCCATATCAGATGCAAATTTCGCACTGGACCACCACCACACAGGTGTGGAAAGCCTGGTAAATTTCTCAAAAACACCCAAGATTCCCGAACACCCATTTGGAATTCGAACTAGCGTCATCTGAAAATTAGCCAACCATGATAACAACTGAGCTAACAGCCCGCCTCCTCCGCAAGACGGTCAAACAAATTATTACCTTCTGCGCCTCAAAGACAAAGAGTGAAGGTAGATCGATTCAATAAACATCATCTTCGTTGCACAAGGAGGAACTGCTGAATTGTGAGGAGTTATCGATAAACTTGAGGAGAACTGATTTCCTAAAACATAATGTACCCTTTCTTCAGAAACATAAAATTCGATTGAAAAACAAATGACGGGCAATTGTGTGTTCTTCTTTTCATCAATGTCAAGACGAGGAACATGCAGAGGAGGTCGATTGAAAACAGGAGGAGGGCATAGAGAGATGTTGTGGAGGGGATGATTATGATGAATCTATCTATCTATCTATCTATCTATCTATCTATCTATCTATCTATCTATCTATCTATCTATCTATCGATCGATCGATCGATCTATCTATCTATCGATCGATCTATCATATCGTAAGTTCATTCCCATGCAATGAGCTTTTTTAATTAAAGTATTTTTTTTTAAAATCAATTACCTCTGCCTGTCTGAGAGAGGTTGTATTCCAATTAGCCCAAGTTGACCTCCTAAGAAACCTGCATTGTGTGAATGGGGCTTAAACTATTTATAATTATAATTATAAGAGTAGTGTAATTGTTCATCTTTTTATCACGAGATTATTCTTCACTCTGTCTATTTTCGCTTGGACCATAAGCACAACCACAAGTCAAAAACATAGTTGCCGTCTCTTTATTTATTTATCTCTCTTTCACTCCCTGTCTTCTTTGGTATCTCCATCTTCAACTTTTTCTTTTCTATTACAACTCCTCTTCTCCCCCCCCCTCTCTCTCTCTCTCTCTCTCTCTCTCTCACTCTCTCTTTCTCTCTATCTCCCTCTCTTCCCCCCCCCTTCTCTCTCTCTTTCTCTTGTTAGTTATTCATCCTATTTTTTTCCTTTTGTACGTATTTCACCGGAACTTTTTCGCTTTCCCTTTCTGTCCATCTTCTACCTCTATTTCTAGCTTGCATTTCCTCACCATCTTTCTACCTGTTTGTCTTTTTGTATTCTTCTCTGTCTTTACTCTTCTCATATTTTTTCTTTTGTTCTTCCGTTCATAAAAAAAAATATAAGAACATTATTTCTCTCTATAATTTCCTCACTGTTTCTTTGACCCTGTACGTCTCGGTGTATCCCTTTCTCTTTCCTCCTTTCTCTCTGTTATCTTCAACAACGTTTTTCTGAGTCTATGTCTCTCTTTTCCTATTTTTCTCTCTAACTTTCGAAACACGTTCCTTCCTTTCTCTCATACCTCCTT